CCGGGCCTGAGTGCTTAGCCTGTGTGGGTCTCTACTTTCTTGGTTGCTGGTGATCTTATTATTGCATTGGAGTTTCCAGTTGCTCCCATATATGATGGAATCATTGACAGAGGAGGAGAAATATGTCAGGCACAGCCTTTCAAAGCTCAGCTAAAATGTCTTTTTTAAAATACATATAGATTTATTTCGCTGGTTGATGGTGGCACACACCTATATTCCCAGCACTTGGGGGTGGGGTAGAGACAGGCAAATGTCTGTGAGTTCAAGTCCAGTCTGGTCTACAAAGTAAGTTCTAGGACTGGCTCCTAGAACCCTGTCTTGAAAGACCAACCAACCCCCCCCCCCAACCACTCTATTTTATGTACATCAGTGTGTTTTCCATGGGTGTTGGGTTCTGAAACTGGAGTTATAGACAGCTGTGAGCTGCCATGTGGGTGCTGGGAATTGAACCCAGGTCCTCTGGAAGAACATCCAGTGCTCTTAACCACGGAGCCATTTCTGGCCCCCTAAAATGTCTTTTTTGAGGCTTTTCCTAATAGCTCTTTCAAGAGAGGCGAGGACAGGACCCTTCATGGCACCCTGCTTATTTCCTTACTAGTACTGTGTGAAGGTAAGTCTGGGATTGGGAATGTAGCCATACAGCCCGCCTCAAACCTTGGCACTGAGGGGTGGGGAGCTAAAAGGTGTCTGGCAGATGCTAGAGACAGTTGGGTCAAATCCAAACAAAATCTGTTCCATTTAGTAAGTTATTTAGCCGCTCTGTGCTTCAATTCCTTAATAACTGTCAATTGAACCAGGAACTTATGCTGAGTTGTATTTAAGTTGTGGCCATGATGGGTGGGGAGATAGCTCGTTGGCAGAACATTTGTCTAGTCCCTGGGGGTGGGTGAGGGTATGGAGACCACAGGACTGAAAGGAATGGGTAGATATAAGGTAGGTACTATGTCAATGGCAGGGTCAACAGATGAATTCAGCAAATGAGAGAAATAGTAAAGGTAATGCCAAAGAGGAGAAAGGAAAGAAGGATAAGAAGGGAAGTTCTGGTAATACTAGTCCCCCCCCCCACCCCCTTGGCTTTATGGTTGAACTCAAGGCTTTAACATGCTAAACAACTCTGCCAGTATAATGTGATCCTTAACACTTAAGAGAGGTTCCCATGAGTGACTAAATGTGCTTAATGTTGCAAAGCCAGCAAGTCCCTTTTAAGTTGGGGCTAGGGAGGCGGCCCAGTTAGCAGCATGCCTGTGTGCAAGTCTGAGAACCTGTGTTCAGTCTCCAGAATACACATGAAGCCTGGCATGGCGGTGTGTGCCTGGCTCCCCGTGCTGGGAGTGGTGACAGGAAGCCAAGGGCTCACTGAATGGGAGAGCTTCAAGTGCAGTGAGAGACCCCATCTCAAAAGAGAAAGGAGGAGACTGGACTGAGGACAAAACCCAATGTCAGTGTCTGGTCTCCACCCACAGCTATTTGCAATGGGATCCCCCCCCCACCTTCCCCATACCCTGTTCCCTCAGGTACCCCCCACCCCCACCTCCACCATCCTCCTTTTAGCAGACAGGGCTTTATATAAAAGAAATGTACTGACGCAGTCTAAGACACAGTACAGAAAGGGGACAGGCTTCCCAATTTTAACTCACCATGTTACTTCAGAAGGTACGGTAGTTGCTTTTGTAAAAGGAAGCTTGGACTTTTGTAGCAAGGACCCATTGCTATTCAATTTTAAGTCCTACAGTGTTCTTGTTGTTGACACAGATCACAGTGCCCCCAGTCCAGGCATGAGCTTCCTGCCATGATTTCTGGGCATCCTTTATGAAACAGACCCTCTGACCTGGAAGGCTGCTGGGACCTTTCGGGATAGCTCAACAGTAGATAAAAATCTACTGGGAAGTAGGTGTGGGCAGGATGTGTGGTTTCCCGGCCTCTCATCTGAAGGCTGGTTCAGTTCATTTGGCATAAATGGTGTCTTCTACTAAAAAGGTGCATTCTGGAGTGTTCCAAGAGAAACACAAAAGAACAAGCTACCTATTGATCTTCATTTCAAGTTGAAACTAGAACGTTCTTTCTCAATGGTATAAAAAGGCACAGCAAGGAGACTGTGTCCCTTACTGTAACCTCGAAGCAGCCACCTCTGCCAGTGCAACCTGGATCTGTAAAAGTAACACACAGCAGGACATGCATGTGTTTACTGAATAATCTCGAGCTAAGCAGGAAGACACGATAACAGAGTCTTGCCCTGGCTCTGAGTGCGCACAGCACACCAAACCTGGGGAAATACACCACACAGACTCTTTCCCTGACACTGCGGGCTAGTCACTAAGCAGGTGCTGCAAACATCTGGGACATGCACTTCTGGGGGAAAAACATAGGATACCTTTTGTATACTTCTCCGTGGCCTGAGACCTTTTGCAGCAGGATTATCTGTGGGCTGAGGGAAGCCCACAGGACTGAATCCAGCCCCTTTTCCAAAGGCCACTTAGGAACAAAATACACAGGGAGAAGGGTTCTAATATGGATCAAATGTACACACTACTGCCACCAACAAGTATTATTTTCTCCCTAGCAAAATAGAAGCTCACTTCATCCCCGACCCTGGGTAAGCTACAGTAATCTGCTGCCTGATACTCCAGGTCAAGAGGCCAGTGTAAACAGTTAATGCCTGACATTCAAGGACTGAACTGAAAGCAAGCCTTTGGTTGGCTGCCCTGCCCAAAGGCCACTGGGGGTAGATAGTAAGTCCAGACATGTCTGAGGTGGCCTCTAGCCCCAAGCCAAAGAAAGCATACTGGTGACAGATGTGCCTATACTATTTGACTCAGGGAAGACATCTGCTAAAAGACTAAGAAGGCCCACAATGGCCTTAGCATTGCATTTTTTTCAGTACTGGGGATTGAGGTCAGTAACTCACCTATGCTAGGGAAGCACTCTGGCTTCTTTGAGAAAAGAATTTGCTAAGTTATCCAGGCAGGCCTTGGATTTATGTCTCATCCTCCTGCTTAGCTTTCCAAACAGCTTCAATTACAGGTTTGCACCTAGTCTGGCCAACCTTACACCATCAGCTTCACATCATCCTGGATGGTCACGCCTCTTTTAAATCTAATGTGATATCTTTATCAACCAGTTTCCATTTACCGATTTGCTTGTATGTGGCTTGCAAATGCGCGGCATTTGTATGGTGGTCAGGGGACAACCCACAAAAGTCAGTTCCCTTCCTTTACCATGTGGGTCCTGGGGACTGAAGTTGTAGGCTTTATGGCAGGCACCTTTACCTGCTCAGCCATCTCGCCAGCCCATTCCCCATTTCTTTACTAAATTTATATCATACTGCTAAACAGACTATTTAAGATAAAAAAAAAACCCATAAATTCAAGTACTATATGTGAATGTCTTTGCATTTTTTTGTGTCTCTGCTAAGGGAACAGCGCTTATAGGAAAGAGACAAACACTCCCGGCCACCAAGGAACTTCTGTCACAGACATGGTTCTGTTAGGGACATGGTCTCGAGTGGCACCAGCTCCATACTATGTGGGGTCTAAAGTGTAAGTTCCTGTTAAAATTTAGGAAGTTGCTTGAGAGTGGAGCGGAGAGGCCAAGTACTCATCTTACAGGGTGGGAGATCCTTGGTTTAACCCCTAGCACCAGGAAATGGCAGCAACAAATAATAATACTACAACATGAACAAAACTAAAGATGGAAAGCAGAGTGTGGGGACCCTCCTGAGTTTGGCACTCCGACTGCATCAGCCACATACTCACGAAACTGGCTTTGTCATTTCCTAGTCACGTGATCCTGAATGAGCCATCCATAAGACAGGGACAGTAAGAGTCTGCATCTCATTGAGTCCTTCCAGGTTGAAATTAGGCATTACCTGAACAGTGTGTGTAAAATACAACATGCATACAACAAGCACTACACAACTGTTTGTAAATACACCTCCTACCAGACCTAAGCATCTCAAAAGGCTAGAGACTGATGGGAGATGCCATTGTGTATATATGTTTCTCATACTGGTTAATGAATAAAGCACTGTTGGCCAATAGGAAAGGAAGATAGGAGGGACTAGGAGATAAGGAGGAAAGAGGAAGTAGTAAGGAGGAGTCAAGATGGAGAGTCTGGAGAAGGTAGAACTGCCAGCTGCCTCTCGCTGGTAAGACAACGTGGATATACATAGAAATGGGTTAATAATTAAGACAGAGCTAGCCGATAAGAAACTAGCATTATATCAAATACAGAGCCTCTGGTTATTATTTGGGGCAGTCGCAGCGGCGGGACCAGACCGGCGGTGGAGGAAAAACCTTACTCCTTACAAGAGACAGTTACAGCCATGGCATTGGAAATACATTTAATACTTTTTAATGTTTGCGAATTTAGATTTCTGATCAATAGAAACATGTTCTTATAACTACAGCCCTGGTCATTTGAAAATTTATTTTAACCAGACAGACTTTAGAAATACTGTCTGGATACTGGCCAACAGCACACAAAGCAAGACTGAGGAATGAAGAAAGACAGTTGTTTATGGCCAGAGATCTGGAAGCCTGTGGAGTGTAAACTGTCATGAGACCAGTCTAACAAACTGCTTCCTTTAGGCTGTGATAACTCACTGGGGACATCACTGCTTCCACCCAAGGATTAAAGGCTGACATGTCTGAAGAGAACCAAAGGAACACCTTGTTCTCTCTCTCCCTTCTCCCTCTCCTCTCTTCCCTGTGCCCAGCTCCTTATGTAGTCCAGGCTGGCCTCAAACTTGGTAGGTAGTCAAGGATATCCATGATATTTCCCTCCATCTCCTGAGTATATAATCACATGCTAGAACAATACCTACCCCCAAACCAGCTTTTCCTGTCCTTTTCTTTTTATAATGTAGGATCCTTTTGTTTTATTTACAGCTGTAAAACAGGAAATGTTACTAAACATACAAACTCTATATTTAGGTCGAGAAAAACAAAACTAAAAAAAGTGAAACAACAACCAAAAAAAAACATGGCTATAAGAGTCAAAAGGAAACTTGCAAGCAGTGTTATACACATTTATTTAGAAAAATAAGTTGGTGTGCAGACATGTCTATTTGACGGGCACTCTGTGCTAATGTTTGTCTTTCTTCACTGTGTTATTTGCACACTTTAAACTCTTCACCATTGATAATTCTTTGGGCTTTTGGAAAACTTTACAATAAAGACAAATATTATAATAACTATTATTGGTAATTGTGAAATTCTCAAGACTCTGAAGTTGCCATTTGTCAAACAATTCGCCCAAGGTACACAGATTTGGGGTACTTCTCCTTGAGAGCTGGCCATTGAACAATGAAGTAATCAGAGAGGTGAAAGAGAATCTTCCCAGACAGGGATAAAGTTTCCACTCGGCAGATGCTCTCAACGTAGACAATGATCACTTTCTTTATTCCAAGTATCCCAAGGAGCAGGGCAGATACACAGATGGGAACACACGTTCCTGGTCCATTACACAGCACCTTAAAAAAAAAAAAGACCAAGTCAGAATACAGAATACTGTCTTCAGTGGACTATTCTTGACTTAACACCCTAATCTTGTATGTGTGTGTGTGTGGGGGGGGGATTTATTAATCCGGTTAAGTCTTTGTTGCTAAGAACATACAGATGTGACAGTGTGTACTGAAGGCACTGTACTCAGAAGTCATGAGGAATTTTATGCCTTGGATTTCCTGCTTCCCAGATGTGTGACTTGGGGCAAACAACTTAACTTCATCATCATCCTTCTCTCTCTCTCCCTCTCCCTCTCTCTCATGTTCTTCCTGTGCGCACATGCGTGCATGCATGCATGTGTGCGTGCGTGTGTGTGGTATGCTCATTCACTCATGTACATACAGAAGACAGAGGTTGACACTGGGAGTCTTCTTTTATTGTTTCCCACAATGAGAAACAGGGTTTCTCACTAAATCTTGCCATTTTTGGTAAGTGGCTAGCTAGCCCTGGAGTCCTACATCTGTCTCTCTCCACTCGCCAATGCAGGGCTACAGACTCCTGTGGCCTTTATATAGGTGCTGGGGATCCAAGCTCAGGTGTTCCCGCTGTACAGCAGGCGCTTTGCTACCAAGCCAACTCCAGAGCATATGCCATTTAACTTCCATCTTCTAACACAGTGGTTGGTAATTACTCAGTACTCACTGAATGGAGTATTTGACTCTTCTGGGAGTCTTAGTATTGTGGGCAACACAGAGAAAACAGAAAAACAGACTACTATGATCCATTCAGTTTCCTTTTTTCTACTCACATGTTTTTAATGTAGAAGGAAATGCTTTCAATGACTATGATATGGTATCTCTTTTGGCTCCAACCCCACAAACAGGACATTCAAAAGAGGGTTAACACATGAAACTTTTTTTTCCCCTCAAGAAATCTGAATCTGTGCTTGTAACACAGCTCTAGTGTTTCTGGAATTTTGCTAATATCTACAGAGAGCCACCGATTTTAAACAAATTTAATCTAACAAATGAAATAACAATTCCAATCACAGAGCAACTGCAAAGAATTTTTATTGGTCTTTGAAGAAATGAGGAGTCTTATTTCACAGACTGATTAGTAAGATAATTTATGACTATTTGAGAGGAAAAATGTTTTATACAATATCTTCCTCATATGCCCATATTGACTGAATTAGTGAGACCCAATAAATCATTAGACTTCCCAACTAGGAAACAGGAGGCTTGTAGCTGTCTACACATGCCTATTAGTATTATGCGCAATGTCACATGACCCTCCCAAAAACAAATCCACTAAACCCAGTGGAATGGGTCTTCAGACTCAGGGTTGAACATCCTTGCGAAATAGGGACTCTCACCTGGATGGACAGCCTGCCTCCAGGTGAACATGGCTAAGGTTGCAAGGGTCATCTTGCCTAGCTCCATCCTTCCTGCCCCCATGGCCACCTAGACACCATTCACCGAGCTCTCTCTGCCTGTTCTCAGGGAGGATCAGTCTTTCTGGGTGTCTGTCTCTCATGGATGTCTCTTGGGTTAGCATTGACTAAGTGGAGCCAGAACCCAGCTCTTCATCTCCATTAGATTTACAGACCCCCAAAGCAGCACAGTGCAAACACAGGCTGCAGAGGGACCCAAGACTGGGCAATGGCCATAGCTCTCACCAGCACCATTAACAACTCACTATGGCCACAGACCACACCAAACACTTTACACACAAAATGCTTTAATTATTACTCACAGTAATCACACAAGAGAGGTTAAACTATCTTTTCTTGTAGGTAAGAAGACAGTCTGCTTGATCACAGGTTTAGGAGCTAGAGAGCTTATATGGCTTCAGGCTACATACTTCTTCAGTTATCCTCCTAGCTTAAAAACAAGGAAACCAGGCTAAGTGACTTGTCAGCCCCACAACTCCAGGTGGCCTCTACTGTTGTTTGATACCTACAAACTCACTCAGAATCCTCTCCAGGCTTTAGAGTGTACCCTCCCTGAGGAGGAGCCAGCCCTGGGCATCACAGGATGGCCAGCAGCATCCTTGGTCTCTGTCCATAAGACTTCTGTAGTCAAGACAACCAGGAAGGACTTGAAGCATAGCCACATCTTTCTAGGTTGACAGCCATTATTAAAATGCCTCCTAATCCTTGGGCTGTTTATACGAATCTTCTTTACAACAGCACAGAAGAAAACTAAAGTTACAGCTTGTTGGAATTTGAGTGACACAGAACATTTTAATATGTTGTTTTTTAAAAAAACATACATATCCACGTGTGTTCATTTCAACATCAGCTGACTGTATACAGGTGATAAATACATAAATGACTGGGTACTAGTGAGAGATGTCCATACAGCCTGCCATGGGTCTGGCTGGTAAACGTGAAAATCAAAGGTATTCAGTTTGTTTCTCGCTATTCCACATCTCCGCACTCTAAGGCACCTTATATAAAAGGCACAGGTACAGCAAAACTATAAAATCATAAATCAACAAGTCAGAGGGAAGCACGATACGGCCCAGGATAAAGTTATTGACGCAGTGTGTGCAAAGTTCTGACTTTGACCTCTAACTCAGTGTAAGAGAGGTAAAGGGGTTTGTGGGGGAAAAAGGCTAACTAATCTCAAGGAAACACTTTTAATTAAACACATATTTTAATTCTGACTTGCAGCAGCCTAGATTTTTTTTTAAAATGTGGATTATGGTTTTATTATTCTAAGAAGCATACCAGAGAGACTTACTGCAAGCATTGGGAAAAAAGGAGGCTACCAAGAAGCCTTGGTTAAACAGCGCTAATGTAACAACTGACAACACAAATTCTCAGTGCACACTGTATCACTGCCCTGGCCCTCTCTCCCTCACCATCCCGCAAGCTGCATACCAGCACAACTTACTTCAAAGGCAATCTACAGTCTGCAACAAACAGAGTTGCCTACATGGAAAAGAGGAGGCAGGAACAAGAGGCTAAGGAAAGAGAGTGACTACTCTAGGCTGAGCCTGTATGGAATCAAAGGTTCCCTTCTGGTGACTGCACAACATATCTAACCATAAATTTACACTTAATGTGGCTGGCTAATGTATTGGCTGTCACCCACAGGTTTTCCTTTTCCTTTCACACATGTTTTCCCTTCCCCCAAGTCCTCCCAGATAGTCACTTACCTACCTATCCAACTTTATGTTCTTTCTTTCTCTTAAAAAACAAAAAATGAAAAAGCAAGAAACACCCCTCTGTAACACACACACACACACACACACACACACACACACACACACACACATCAAAACAAACAGGCAAAAGAAAGAAAAGCAAAAACAAAGCAAAAAGTCTACAAAAATACCATTGAGTTCATTTTATGTTGGCCAACATCCGTCACCCTTTTTACAGAAGAAGTATATCCTTCTCTCCTGACTCAAGTGTTTGAATGACTCTATATCCAGCTACAAGGAAGGGACGTATAAATCCTGTCTGACCAGAGAACTGGATTCTTCTGCCAAATGCCACCGGTTCGGGGATGAGCACATAAAACAGGCAGAACCCACAAGGCAATGGACATCTGATGCATGTGTCTTCTTTCTTCCTTGAGACAGGGTGTTATATAGTCCTAACTGCTGGGCCTGGGACTTACACAGCCTAGGGTAGCTTCAAATTTGTGGTTACCTCCTGCTCTGTACTGAGACTGTAGGAGAGGTCCAGTGTGCTTAGGTGGGGCGGCACTTTCTCTACTGTCCTGGAAGCCAGATGTGGGGGGACTTGGGACTCTTGACATCTAGCTTGCTATCATGTGGGGAACGTAAGAATAAAGCCACTGCAAAGGCAAGCAGAGCTGAGAGATGAAGAAGGGCCAGGTTCCTTTCGAAGACAGGAATCCAGCTGTACCTGAAGGAAACCAGATCTTTCCCTAGACTTACAAGGTATGTGAGGGGATACATTCTATCTTTGCTTAAGCAAGTTTCAATTAAAATTCCTGTCACTGGCAATAAAAAGCATACTAATGGACACAATCCTTTATTTTGTCTGACTAACTAAGCTCACTGTGTATCTGTTGGATGAGTTACCAAATCAATAAACCATTGTGAAAGCAGGAAGTCTGAGAGATGTCACTAAAGGCAATGCATGCCATAGATCCAGAAAACAGCAAGAGGCCGGGCCACTGTACATCCAGTCAGGAGGGGAGATGCACCAGCCCAGGAACAAGAACAGTCATAACAGGTTTGCTGTTCTGGACATTTGGGTCACACAGGTCAAGTCCCATGGGCTGAAACATAATGCCTGCAAGCATGACAAAACATGCTTAACTTCATCAGTTTGAACTTATCTCCCAGCTCAGCAGGAATTCCCTCTCACCCTTGAACTTGGAGTTGAAGCACTTGGGGGGTTGGGTCGGAGACACTGGGTTTAGGTTGACCCGGGACAGGGCGTAGGTGTTGGTTATAGGTCAGAGGAACGCCAGTGTGGGTTGATCCAGGACAGGGTGTGGGTATTGGTTATAGGTCAGAGACACTGGGTTTAGGTTAGCCCAGGACAGGGTATGGGAAGCAAAGGCTGCGTTAAAAAAAAAAAAAAAAAATTATATATATATTTACCATAATTTATTTATTTATTCTTTGGGAATTTCACACCATGCACCCTAACACCACTTACCTCCCGGTCCCCCTTTACCCTCCTCTCACCCCAGCAGAGCCCCTACAAAAGAAATTTAAAAAATCAAATAGAAACAGGCTAGGGGGTGGAGCCAGCTCTCCAGAGGGCAGGGGTCAGCTCTCCCATGAGGTTTCGTTAGATTCTATTCCACTGTGCAGAAAGTTGGACAGGCTCACTCCCGGTACGCTCATGTAGATTCCAAAATCAGGAGACAGAAGATAGCTCGGCTACAGCTCAAAAGACACAGAGCTGGCCACTGGGTGTTAAAATAGCTGAAAGGTATGGGCATTGGTGGCACAGGCCTTCAGTCCCAGCACTTGGAAGGCAGAGGCAGGCAGACCTCTGTGAGCTCAAGGTCAGCCTGATCTACAAAGTGAGTAC